AGAGTGTTTCCTGAACTGGGGCCACTTTTAGTAAAGTCAGTTTGGGAGCAAACATGGTGAAATATCTAGGACTGACCTTTTTGATTATAATGTGACATTTTTTATTCTGACATGGATAGTTACAGACCTAGGAGAGTGATTGGTGAAAGCATAAAATATTATTACTCTCCAAAGGACTGTCTTGTTATGGGCTGTAGGCCAGATTCTCAGGTGATGTGATTAAATGTACTTCCATTGACTGTAATGGAGCTAACGCATCTACGTCACCTGAGGTTTGGCTGGAATTCTGCTGTCAAGGACATGTATAAACACCAATAGGAATGTATATACTCCATTTCATCTAACAGAAACAGAAATGGTTTACATGTCCATTATAATTACAAGTTATGAAGAGGTTTGTAGCTGATTTTTAAATAAAAAATGTTTGTGGCATTTTTCACTTAGTGAATTAATCTCCTGAGAAACAAGAATTACAGTGCCAAAGCAGACTTAATTCCAGAAAACACAGATTTGGTACTAGAAAGCTGGTAGGAAGAGGGAGTCCATACTTTAGCTCAGTTAACACACTTTAACAGTTTAATGGACAGTTAAAGGTAGTGACTTAACCTACTTCTTCCTGGGGTAGTACGAAATGTTAATTCTCGACCACAAACCCAAACTATGGTAAATGAAACCTGACCACATTTGAAAGTCCTCTTATTACTCTTTTTCACAAAAGAAAGTGATAACTTAATCTTAGTTGGTATTTGTTTTCCAGTATATACAATAATAATAGTTAAAATATTCATAACTCCACAGTCAAAAACAGTAGAAGAGCACAGTATCTCCATTTAGCTTAGTTTAGAATATCTGCTTGTCTGCTAACTGCTTGTATGCTACTGTTAAAAATAACATATCCAAAGATATGTTATGTATATTCCTGGTCTGGGTGATGATACCAACTCTCCTAAATTAATGTCAGTGATTTCAGGGACCCTTGCCCACACAGAGGTCTGAAATTTCAAGGAATCAGGTGATGCCTGGTTTGCTCATACATTTGCTTCTCACCCTGAGTCCACATATTTTCTGTTAGAGCTGATACAACCTATGAAGCTGATAATTTTCTAGAATAAGGGAGGTAAGAAAAGTGAAAGAGCTGTTCTATACAAAGATAAACAGATTTAGTTTCACTTTTCACATAGAAAATGACAAATATACATTTGGAAACTATCACTAGAGCTAAGGTACAAGGCTGTTGTAGACTTTCAGATATTTGCCATCACAACATGTATATAGCCTTTATTTGGGAATCACTGTATTGGTACTCTTAAAGAAATAAATTAAGAAAGGATTAGATACTTGATATTACCCATAGGCACATATATTTATCTCTAAAATTAAAAAAAAAGGCATAACAAATTTTCCAACCCTTATGCTAATGAATATTGGTTTTATTCCTTTTTCTGTAGAAAGTGAGAACAATACTCTACAGTGATACTGAAATGACCTTTATGTATCTTGCATATATCTGTAGAACTGGGAAAGACAATTTTTGGTATCAGAGGTTCCCTAACCCTTAATCTGTCATGTCCATAGAGTGTTCAAATTCATACCTCAAACTGTTCTACATTTATTTTGGCATCCAGTGTTGTATAAGCAGAACAAGATTGGCGTATTACGTGTTTTTTGTTACTTATTTGAAATTTAGTCTTATTTATAGAATGTTTATTCTACTTATGAATAATGAGTATCTACTAGGATAGAATTTATACATTTTTTAATATTATAAAAACATCACTGTTTCTACTTCTCCAAACATAAATTTTAGATAAAATATTTCACAGCAGGAGGAAAAATCTGCCAAGGAACAATTAACAATAAAGATCAGTTTCCTAATGTAAAATTCAAAATCAATAGCATTTTGTTATCCTACAGCATACAAAATGCAAGTAATTTGTGAATGCAACAGGTCATAAATGACACATTATGAATTTTTTTTCCCTTCACTCAGAGTTTATGATGTGTAAGAGAGAATAGAAAGGTACTGTCTCATCTTGAAAAATCTGATTAGTACTGCAGCATATCTCCAAGGACATACTAATGACAGGTATTTGCCCAGTTATAATACAAGCAATTAAAACTCTATGTGTGTATATAGATATAGACTTATACATATAATTACCATTCAAAGGATCATTCCTCTAGGTCTGTTGCTATGTAAAAATAGTTCCTTCCTATTTAGTATACTTAACTTTTCAAATTCAGACTGCTATGTGCCTTCTTTGGTGAAGAAAATAACTTCCCACATTTTATCAATCTACCTGAGCAATGCTTCAGAGACAAGACTCAAGTATGCTAGAAGGTTATAATCTATTGCATGCTTTTGACTGCTCATGTAGCAGAGTCTGATCCCCTTAAAAACTCAGGATGTTATACAATAAAATCACCATCAGTACATTCATCCAAGTGGGAGTGAACAGCTATTGATTCATATTTGACTGGAAGTCAAGCTAGGAAAAACACTATTATACTGATAGAAGTTCCTAATGCAGGTGATTGCAGTATGATTCAGGTACCTAAAAAAGGTCTCCAGTGTTGTTACAGATACTTTATGATATCAGAGACATCCTCTCAGGACTGGCAGGCATCATCCACAGGACAGTAAATTCTGAACTACCTGGAAGAACCCAGACAGGATGTCCTAAACCACTGAAAATAGAAAGTAGATTTTTATGTCCCTAGATACTAATATAAACAAAATTGGCTGGAGGAGTATATCTGAGGACTCCTGAGGAAAACATTGTTTGCTACTACATAATCTCATGTGAAGTGGATTGTATATTAATACCATTGTAATTACATGACTCCAAAAATAAGAGGCAATAACACCAAGATGATTGCCCTCCCCCTTGCAACCATGCTGTTATTGCAGTACCCGTAGTGCTGTCCTGATGCTTTTCTCTGCCTGTTCCTTGCTTTGCAGTGCCTAGGTGTTCTGTGCATTTTTGCCTGTCTCCTACCAGTGCTAACCTCCTCTCCAAACCTGCAGTGATGCTATTTACACAGCTAGACCAATAGAGAAAGAGGGGACCTGCTCATGGACAATGTTTCCATCAGTTCAGCCAGCAGCAATTCTTTTTTTCTCAGAAAAATGCTGAAGTTAAGCAGGGCTCCTGGTCAAGGGGTCAGTGGGGCTTCAGGTGCTCAGTGGGGGAATGAGAAAGATAGGTATTTTTGTTGGTTTGTAATCACCAGATGGAGCCTATTGAGTTTTACTTTTACAATTGACAGGGGTCATTCAGCAACAGGTTAAAATCAGACTCCTGAAGTTTTCCAGTCATCCTTGCCACTCATATAATACACATTTTCTCTCCCGAGAAAAATTTCACCATCTGTATTATAGCCAATCAGAGTCCGAGTCAGTTTACTTTAGATGAACATTGCAGCGGATCAGGAGATTCATGAGCAGATCAGTTTTCCCTACTTTGGGGGGGAGCAACATCCATCACAGGAGCGGAGGGTGCAGCTGAAGGCTGTTAAAATTTCAGTCATCCAATTTTAATCCACCACCACATGTTGGCTTGAGCCTCCTGGCACTTTGGGTTGTGATTGCTATAGATTTTCAATGAGAATGGGAACTTTAGAAAGTTATATATACATTTCAATAAAAAAGATTACTCAGGGGATATATGCATCTGTCTCCATATCACAATTTCTCATGCACACAGAACTACCCCATTAGGTCACAAATATCACCTTTACATCAACAGACTGATTTGCTAAATTCCAAACAGCTAAAACTGAGATTTTTACTATTCCTCTGGTTTCAGAGTTGTCACTTAGGTTACAATATGAAGACCCATAAGGTCTCGTAAGTATAAATAAAACTTGACAATTGGTGACAACTTTAAGAAGAACACCGTGCAAGTTTCAGAGTCCGGAGTGAGCTTGTAGCCCTGGAATCTTAGATAAAAAACCCTTTGTATTTGTGAGTTGAGCTCTCCTTAAGGCATAATAACCATAGGAGTCCGTGGTTAAGGATGGGCACTTGATTTTACAGTTCAGTAGCTGTACCTTCCATTGCCCCAGAAGAAAAACAAAACAAAATATAGCCATAGCAAAACAAAAAATAACCCTACACCATTCAGACTCATTCAAATGTAAAATAGTAATTTATTTTAGTATTTATAGTATTAATTTCATAGTTATTTTACATATAACAGTCCTCATTCTGCCAATAGCAAAAAATAAATCAAGGAAAATATGTAATGTGCAATGCCTTTTTAAAGTTGGGCATATCAAAAGCCAAGGGCTTGTCATGCTACTAAAAAACCCAGGTTGTTCCCTTTTAAATAATAATATTGTTGCTAGGGCAATTCAGTTGGGATGTGAGAAGCCTCAGTGAAGTCTGCTCTAAATGAGAGAGCTGGTAGATTTTGACTTCCACTCCCCAGATGAACACTCCAATAAACAGGTTATAGAGTATTCTGGATTCAGGTCATTAATGGCTCTTGTTCGACCTATTCCATTTAACTTGGAATATTTAAATACTAATTAAGGGACCAGAAAAGAGAAAGAATGACTGTATAAATTAACATGGTCTGTTAAGCACCAGCTTGAGCCTTGGGCTTTAACCTGGTGACCTTATCAATCCACCACTGTTGTGATCAGGAAGGCAGGAGTCACAGCCTATGGTAAGGAGGGTACTGCAGGGAGAAGAGAACAAGGGATCAGAACCCTTCAGTGAAGGATTAAACAATGGATATATGATAATCTGTTGCAATTTTTTTCAGGCCCAGCACATCACTCTTAGTGAGTCCACAGACCTCTGCAGTCTCATAATGATCACTATTTTCCCATGTGGGCAA